CGGTCTCGAGCCGAGCGAGCTCTTCCTCCTCCACGCGAGAGAGGGTTGACCTCGTCCGTCCTTCCCTGACTTTCTTTTGCCCGCGGCCTTCCTACCCGAAGCCACGTCAGTCGCTCTGAGCTGTGGTTCTCCTTTCCTTAGTAATTTGACTCTGGAAAGTTTGCTCCCTGGTACACTGGAATGGCATTTCTTCTCCTCTTCCCGATGCTTCCCTCGCTGCCCTTAATCTCCCGCTCGGTCCGAGAGACTTCGGTGGCTTCGCCTTCTGTGGGCAGGGGGCGTGTCCTTTTCCTTCGTGGCCCGATTTGAGTGTTGTTGGTCGTGGGTATGATCTCTTCTCTGTTCTCCTCTCGTCTCTGCCTATAAGGGTAGTTCTTTTGGATTTTTAGGAGGTTGTTGAAAAGGTTGGCAAAAAAGGAGAATAGGAATTCTACGCTGTAAGGAGATTGAAAAGGGAATTTCTGTGAGAGCACTTCTTTGGGGCGAACTCTTGTGTTGCAGGGCTTTACTTTGGCATTCTTGAGGTACTCTTCTTTCCCCTCTTCTTTCCCCCCTTCTGTGCTTCTTTCCCCCCTTCTGTGGTGCCTCGTTGCCTTTCGATTTTCCCTCTGCCGAGGCTTCGAACTTGTCTCTGTTGGATGATACAGCATGCTAGTTCTCTTTACTTTCATATATTTTGAGGGATTCACTTTAAAAGCATGTGAAGGATAGGAGTATGAGCATGTTTTAGGAAGTTCGATTTGGTTTTTTGCTTAAACTAGGGATTGCATCTTACTGTTTTATGCATGTTTGGGGGCTCGGTTTTGGCTTCTTGTGGCACTCCTTGGTTTGAAATATATGCTATGAGAAAATGATTATGGCTTGTTCTGAGGGCTTGGTTTAGCTTCTCGTGAAGTTCCTCTACTGTTCGGATATCTGTTGAAGTAATTTCACGCTTGGGACATTTAAATATGCAGGCTGTTCCTTGGGCTTAAAATGGCTAGAACTTCTTTTTATATATATATACATTTGCCCTCGGATTTTAACACTGTCGGCCTTGGCTTTGGTTTTGATTGAGCTCGGTTTGGCTCT